ATAATATGAGCGGCGGAAAGAAATGGGGACGCTGAAGTAGAAACAAGATACCCGTACCCCTAGTCGAACCTCCGAGATGAGTGGAAATTAACATGTGTTTGTCAGACGCCGTTTGCCGGCATCTTCAGCTCCATCTGCATATATAGTATGTTGATGTTGATGTGATGTAATAGGCGTTTGATTATTATTTTGATTTTGGTTCGGGGTTTTTGGGGGTTCGGTTTTTGGGTCTCAAATCTTTGGAATTTTTCTGCCGGCTGCGGAAATGGATTTTCAGCCCAAGCAATTAACCAAATCAATGCAAGTAATTTGATTTAGAAATGCCTGCACTCATAGAAATTTTTACCTAAATACTAGAAAAGTCGCCCTAAAACCGAGGTCGCCCTAAAACTACGGAAAATTTTCTTATTATACGGGTGGCTAGCCCTAAATATACGAAAAATCGCCATGGAAAATATTTTTTAGGGTTAGTTTTTTCAAAAAGGCAAATTTGTCCTGTTTTTTAGGGCGAATTTTTATGAGTCGACTCCAAAAGTTATTCCTTTTTTTTAGGGCGAAATCGCCCTAAAACGTTGAACAAAATAGCAAAAAAAATGTTCTGACAATGCCCTAAAAACAAGGAATAGTCAAACGAAATTTTAAGACGCAATTAATGGATACATATGTATGTAATACATGTGTGTATGTGTGTGTGGTTGACAGGTCAAAACAAGTGAATGTGTGTGTATATTAGGGCGGACCTTTTTGTATGAATTTTGATGCTGAGCGCATTTGACTTTAGAGAAGTCCACCCTTTTTCTTCTTCTTTTCTACTTTTCGTCCGTTGCAGTGGCAAGGGTGGGAGTAGAAAGAGTTGCATTGTCTAGACTTTGTCATAATTTTTCGGGCGCTTGGCGGCGAAAGACGTGTTTGTGAAACCTTTTGTTTGTGAAGAAGTGAAAAATGTAAACGCTATTAAAGGACTTGGGAGGCGATTCTTTCTCTGTTTTCTGGTGAGTACATACATATATAATTGTGCAATTTGGATATTAATAACTAATTGAATTTACATATCTGTAACAGAGGAAAATGCAGCTGAAACTTAAAAAGATTTGACTGGAAGCAGCGGTCCAGATGTAGAGGTTTGGAAGTGTGGCAGAACAAAGTAAGAACATTAACAAGAGTATACATATATGTATGTGTATATGTAAATAATGCTTAAGGTAAAAAGATGATGCAACAGAATACACACATTTTTTACAGATGTATATATTTGCCAGAAATCTGTATTTATGCACCGGACAAACCGCATTCACAAGTGCATATGCCAAAATAACCCCCAAATTTCTATTGCGTCATTTCGTCAGTAACCGAAATTTGCTTTTGTTGCTTCTTTTTTTCCAGAAGTAGCAGAAAACGCAATCGCAGGCTAAATGAAAATTCTGACTGTTAGTAGTGCATTTTTATATTAATTTCTAACAATTTTTTTTCTTGTTTTAGATTGAGAACGCAAACCACTTTTCGCACTTTTTAAAAGCGAAAGTAAGGGAATAAAACTGCTCAAATCTTTGGAAAGCCACGCTGAAGGTATGTGCTTTTTCTCTTTTTCTTTTCTCATTCAATAAATAAACTGTTTTTATTTAATAGAGATACAATCAACTTTAATTTGGCTTGCGATCCATTCAGTGTTGGTGCGACAGCAATGACAAAAAAGGACGGCGGGAGCAAGAACGCGAAGCACACCATTGCGGACCCGCGAAGCCGTTTCTTGGTTTGGAAGGCTACTGTTGGGGAACTGCAAACACATCTAAAGGCATTGACGGAAAATTGCAAATCCGGAAAGCCGAAACTGCAACCATTCAGCTGCATCGTGGGAACAAGCCCTTTTTGACCTTGGTGAATTTCCAGTTTACCTATCAGAGGTTTTTTTATAGAATGCGAACCTTATTGAAAATTATTGATGTGTGCTTCAAAATATTTTTTGTTTTAAACCACCATTTATCCAAAAAATGTTTTATGAAATTCATTTAGAGTCTGATAAGAAAGGTAGAGCTTTATCCGAACTCTTGGAGGATTATAAAACCTTAAAACTGTAACTATTTTAAAGAAACAATCTGTTCATTCCAAAAAAAAATATTATTTCTATGCATTCAATTAGAAGTAAAATTTGATAATCAGTACTTATTGTAATAAACCTTAAAAGACCCAAAATTCCCTCCGGCGGAAGCACACAACCTAAAGACCAAAAAATACATTAAGCCAAAACATTATTTTTAAGATCGATGTAATTCTTTTAGCAATAAGAATAAGTAGAAAAGTATGTAAATGTATATAATTAGAAATTGTGTAAATAACAACAAACAAAAATATAAAAAAAAACAAAAAAAATATAATGAAATCGTATTTTTATTTATAAAAAAAACCGGGAAATTTTGGGGAGCACTTTGCTTTTTTTAGGGCAATTCGCCTATAAATCCAGAAAAACGCCCTAAATTTATGAAAATCTGCCTTTAGTTTCAGGATATTTTTTCATATTTCTAGGGCAATTTGCCCTAAAATCCAGAAAAACACCCTAGATTTATGAAAATCTGCCTTTAGTTTAAAGGTATTTTTTCCGATTTCCAGGGCTATTCGCCTATAAGTCCAGAAAAATCGCCCTGGATTTAAAGGAAACTGCCTTTAGTTTAAGGGTCTCATTTCTTATTTTTAGGGCAATTAGCTTTGAAAATAGAAAAATCGCCCTAGATCTACGAAAAATCGCCCTAAATGTGTGACAAATTCACCCGTATTTTTAGGGCAATTTGCCCTAATTTTGTTGCCTAGTCGCCATTGACCCCCGTTTTAGGGCGATTTTCCTTGTTTTTAGGGCGATTTTACCGGAAAATTTCTATGAGTGTGCCTCCAATCAGGCATTTGCTTACATCACCTTAAAGTTTAAGCCCTAAACGCATTTATATAAATTGAAAGCGATATTCGGGAATTTTTATATCGAATGAAAGTGAAACTTTAAACTTGGCTGTTCACAGCATTCGATTTTGATTAGCTCACAAGTGTGTGCGTGTGTTAATTTTGATTTATTCGAATAATTTTGAAAACATTTTGAGTAATGCGATGTTTGACATGCGTTTAGAAGCGACGCCCATCAGTCTTCGCCTCGCCTCCTCCGCTGGGAGTCTGTGGGAATTTGGCTGCTCCACTCGGCTTATTTGCATGCTAAGCCCACTGTTTAAGCGGAAAACAAATGATTGAAGCCAACTAATGATGATTACCTATCCACTGTTCCACTGCTCCCCGGTCACCAGTTACTCAGTGGTCACCGATTGCGTGCTCCCGCGATTCGAAAATTTGTGTTTGAATGTTCCCCCTCCCGGCTGGTAATCAAATTAAAGTCTCGATGAATGAATGAATGGATTTGGTTTGGGCTTGAAGCCTTCCTCCGCGGGTTTAATGCGATCGGATTTGCATTTAATTAGCGACGGATTGGAGAATAACTCCATCTGGCAAAACCAAATGGTCTGCACATATGTTGCTTTAATACACTTGATACCTACTATCTAAAATATAGAAATACAATTTGAGATAAAAATTTCTATCTGAGTTTATTGTAGAAAAAGTTATTCACCAAATTGTAGAACTCGTTTTTTTTCGTAAAATATGTTGGATTGATATGATTTTGATATGATTTCGCTCGGCAATATATCATTGACAGTATTTTGTCTCTCTGTATAAATTGGGTATTAGTATAAATATATTTTCATTGGAAGAGCCTAAGAACAAGTTATTTTTAAACCAAAGCAGAAACCAATCCATCAACTACTAAGCTTTTTTATAGAACAAATACATTAATTTGAACCTGATAGACCATAATTACAAGTCAAGCGGTTATCCCCATTTCAAATTTATAAAGATCTCCCATTCAAAAGTCGATTTATTGCGGTGTATGGCACGTGATCTAATCATTGAAAATTAAACCATTTAATACAAAGTTTCCTCTGGCATAGCGAAGTATATTGTGTTCTTGGCCAATGGGTTGGCAAATTCAGTTTTAATAATAGTTTAGCCGGCAAATTTTTTCTTGGCAGCCACGATAACCTGCAATTAAAGGCAGGCCAAAATGATGATGTGCAGACTCAATAATTTATTTGACACGTGCAGGAAGTAAAGATTTTGGCGCTTCACCGGCCGCAGGTGGAATCTAAAATTTAACAGAAATATATAACCAAATCTATATAGTGGGGTAAGATGAATGACTGGCGATCGGCAAACAATTGGATTACTTAATTTATGAAAAGAAAACACTTGCCAGCAGCACAAAGGAAACACTTGGAAGCGGGCCGCAGACAAATTGTTTGCTTCATTTATTATGCGGAATAATTGAGAGAATTTGCCAGGTGATTATTTTGATTGTACCCATTCAAATCAGCAGGCCGTTTATCATCCATCCATCGATTCAATCAATTGCTGGCACTTGAGTTCTATTAAGTTCCATTGCATAATGATCACCGTTTTTCGTAGGTGGTAGTTTGCATAAATACGGCTGGGATTTGGGATTACTGTGCGTCGTGTCGGTAGAAATAAAAATAAGTATGATTAGTCAAATTGATCGATGTCCGACAGTTGCGAATGGCAGGCAGCCCGTGTTTGCTTTTATTCGCTTTTATTTATCTATTTATTTACTTTTTGTCTTTGTTTCAGCGGATTTGTCAAAAAATAACTAATTTGCCAATGAAAGAAAACATATAAAGTGTCATGTTCAGAGATAACACGCAGTCAAAAGACTTAGAAAAGATAAAAAATTGAAGAGGTGAGAAGTGGGGATTAGACTGAAGCACCGAGTGGGGAAATACTCTAGCTGATTTGTAGAGCTTTTATTTTCATGATCCACATTTTGAGTTTTCTATCATTATAATAGAATTTTTGAGAAAAAATCCTTTTACAAATTAAATGTAGTAAATAGTAAAAATGCATATTGTCAAGGATTTTTTTATTTTATCAGGCTGTACAAATATAAAGAGTGTGAATAACCCTTTTGGCAGGGAATTAGCTTAAGCAAAAAACCGAATATCTAATAGCCAATACCAGACAGAGTGGTAATGATGGGTGATATGGTCAAAACTGAAGCGTGCATAATTAAGCTGCTAAAACCCCTTTCTTTGGCTGTCTGTCGTCTTGTTAAAATCATCATTATTGATGCATGCAAAACTTATGCAACGCATCTGTGGAAAGTGGCGAGTAGGTGGTTTGGTGGAATTTCCTAATAGCCAACACCCTGTCCTTCTCGTTTCCTGATGAACTCCTCAATAGCTCCCTCGGGAGTCCAAGTTCCGAAAAGGGCGTTTCCCATATCCAAAAAGGATCTGAACAAAGCGGCATAATCGGTGTTTGGTCTGTCCACGTAGTCCTCTTCCAGGGGTACGGATAACGCTTGAGTTGGCAGGAATAAGGCAGCGATCAGAGCTGCTAAAATAAAGACGACTGCAGTTCCCGAATGCATTTCAACTGGCGTTCAACTCGGTTGCAGTTGCATCATCAGAGCACTTTTTATAGGGATGCACATGATGCACATGTGGCACTGAAAGTTGCTGACCCACTTCACAATATTGCCACAGTTGCTTTCCTGTAAGTTAAGCCCCCGCCGAATTGGACTTGTAAACATTTTAGTACACTTAAAAAAACAATTAACTATTCTTAAATCCAAATGTATAATTAATAAAAGTGTTGATTGTAATTAGAAATTTTAGATATCTTATTATTGTATTTTATGGAAATTACTTTCTTTCATTTTTCCCTTCTGCACAACGTATAAATTAATGTTATATAATTACAAAATAAGGAATATAACCCATTTTAAAATTTGCATAGGAAATTAAAAAAACAGTTTTTTAGTTAAAAGTGTTAAAAATTATATTTTCGGAATTATACAGTGAATTTCCTAAGGAAATTACTTAAGAATGTTAAATATCCAATTCTATATTGCCATTTTTCTCGGTGCAGTCATGGCAAATATTTGGCCACTTGTTCGACACGTTTATCGGCGAAAAAAAAATAAACATGGGAAAAAAACATTTAAGCGGATCAGGGGCAGATATTGTGGCAAACAATTTTTTAGCTTGTCCGCTTGTTGGATGGCGCTCAAAATCCAATTTGTAGAACGCGCACCAAGGCGTTTGATATGCGTGGATCTTCGGATCTGTAGATCGGCGGATCCACGCTCACATGACACCGCCAACGCCACAGCCATCCATCAATCATTTGGCCAAAAGAGCCAGCGAGCCAAAAACGCGCCTCAAGTGCAGCTGTTTAGCAGCGCTTAATGTTAATTGATCGAGCTTTTGTTTAATTAAAATTTTAGATTTGGGTCACACGATACTCAAACGCGGTCTTAGGTTCGTCCAAATGCGGAAGTCAGGCCCCTCGTTCGGACTCCTCTTCCTTCTTAACGTACGGAGATTTTTTATCCATTAACCACAGACGCTATGTAAAATTATTCGATAAATTATGCGGCACTTGGGAAGGAATCTGGCTACAACCCGATTTGCCGCATTTTTCAAGTCGTGTGAAAACCGAAATCAAATGAAAACGAAAGCGTTTTGGGGGACTACAGTAAAAGCCCCGAAGAAGAACTTTTAAATAAAGATTCAATCATTTTTTAAGAGAAGTTTAACTTAAGTTACAATGTTGAGAATTAATAATATATTAAATTTCATATTTCATCACTTTTTGTTTACTTACAATTAATTTTGATTAAAGAAGTAGGGCAACCTAAAACGAATTAGTTTTCGATTAGTATATGTTTGTATATAATTAATTAATCACGTTCCTAATAAATTTACTTTTTTTGCATTTACTTGTTAAAAATACAATTTCAAGGATACCCACTTTTTAATAAAACTGACGTTATTGACCTAGTAAACATTATTTATTTTTTCCCATAATATGGAGCTTTTACTGTTGTTTAATTTCCCATGCATACACGCCCTAAAGGAAGATAGTTGACAGCATTTTACTGGTCCCTTTCTTTTGTAACTTTTTTGTATTTTTATGGACTCCAACTGATACTGTTATGTAGGCTGGCAGCAGCAACATTTTCGGCAGCAGCAGGTTGTCACCGGTTTTCCAGCAGCAGCATCGTCATCATCACATCATCATCATCATCATACTATACGCAATCGATTGGGCTTTTGTTGCTGTTTGGGTTGCTTGGGTTTTGGTCGGACTTGTATCTTCTTCTTTGACGCACATTTCGGGGTCTGAATGTCTGGTCGTCGCTGCTGATTTTGGATGCTGCTGCTGCTGGCCGAACTCTTTTTGGCCAAAATATTTCGATTACCTTTGGATGGTCGAGTTCAGTTCAAGTTCGCGCCTCGAACGGTTCAGTTTGCATGGTTTTTTCGTTCCGCAGCCGGCATCTATAAATTGAGTGCAGGATAACCCCCATCGACTGGCAGGATAATGCCTTATCCCCGCTTCAGCTAAAGTGTTTGTGAAGTTGTTTACCTAAAAGTATTTCTGTGCTACGAAACGAAAAATTCCCAACAAAACCCGAAAACAAATTAATTTTCGGTCCAATTTAATCGTTTATTCGGAGATTTATAAGGTAAAAATGTGACTGCATGGAGAACAAATACAGCTAATCATCTGCCAAATGCGAACAATAAATATATTCTCATTAAAAAGCTGAGTATGACAAATGTCACTCGCCCACAAAGTCGAAAAAGCTTAGATGCAGTAAGCACATTTGTGAACTTAAACCTATTTAGATTTTCTGATAAATTAGAACGAAAACAAACGGTTTTTCAAGTCTTGGGAAGGAATTATGAATTCAATTCACAAGCATATTTATAAATTTATGATCTTAAGTAGTTAGTTTTATTTAATTAATTAATTAAAGGATCTACATTTTAAAGGCGTAGCAGGATAGCGTGAGTCCTTTATTTCCTAGGCAGAAAAATTAAAATATTCCACAAAATATGATAGGATAAAAACGAATTGGTTGAAATTAAGAAGACGTATTGCAGATTGTAACTTTATATTATTTACATTTTTGATTTCTACTTGCTATGAACATTCAAACAAAATAAATAAAAAACATTTTCCTTGCTGCATTTGATGCTTGTGCTTGCGATATTCTTGTAAATATCAAATTTATAATAATTTATAACTACTATAAAATGTATATTTTTAGTATCGATAATTTTTAGGATAAGTAAAATTAAATTGATATGAATGATTCAAAAATTCAAGATTTTGCTTTATTAACTTATTTTCCACTTAACAAGAAAGTTATATTTGACCCATATATCTGATGTGTTGTCTTCCGCATCTTTTTAGAATCCCATTACTCCTTAAGAAGCTTATTTTCGTTTTGATAATTGATGCAAAAATAACGATGCCTAATCCGAAAATGATATGTTTACATAGCGAACTTCTCGACCCCTTGAGTCGAAATAGCTAAACGGATATAGAAACGGCAAATCACGGAACACCCGAGATCGACGAGACAGCCAGAAGTGGCTCACTCTCCATCTCTAGTGTTACGCACCAGATTTACGTCATCTGACCATAACTGAGCAAATTCCAAAGATGCGGGCTCTTCAAATCTCTGAGGCGAGATCGTGAGAAGAAGCACAGCCAAATGGGATTGACATGGCAGGCGGAACAGAGCCGAGGATCCTTCTATAAATACCCAACCATATGAGCAACCATTCCTGGGACAGTCATCAATTCAGCTGGATGACACCCAACGCTCATGGGCTTGTCGGCGCCATGGAGTCAAAGTTAGCGATTCGCTATAATTAAATATCCGACCGGGGTAACCCGTTCTCGTGATATCTGTTGAAGATTTATGGTTCACTTCGGCCCGGCTCGAAAACGTGCTGTCAATTAATTTGCACCCAAAACCAAAAACAAAACTCAGTCAGAGATCATAAAAAGTAATGATCGAGGCATTTGAATTACAGAAACTAATATATATTTTTCGGCTAAGGCACCTCATTTGATGGGTCTATCCATTCTCTTTTATTTCGTTTTCAATGCAAAGTCTGTTATCTGAAATTTTCCTTCCCTATTCTTGGCTTCTTGTTCGGGGGGCTCTCATCTTAATCATCATTTGTCTGGCATTTCAGTGTTTTGATGGATCATTGAAAACAATGAGAAGTAAAACATTTTCTATACCGAATGCTTCCTCGTTGTCTTCGGTTGCTTTATCTTTGGATCTTGTGCGTTGCTCTTGATAATGACCCTGAATGTGTCGAATTGTAAATGGTTTCTGTAACAAAACTGGAGGCATTCCATTCCGTTTGATAAGTACACATCTCTTGAAGAAGTCATTTTCCATTTTCCCCGCAACATTTGCATATTGAATGTGTGTGAACTGAACAGCAGAAGACAATCTAGCTGAAGATGGATCATTAAAATTCAATTAGATGTCGCTTAGATAGTCATTATAGAACTGGGCAGCTTACAGTTTGTTGACTTGCGGGAAGGTTATTGACTGCCATGGGGAATGTCAGCGGGGCAATGCAATTATTATGCTTGTAATGATGGTCTCTCAATTGTTACATCATCGGGCAGTCTTATATAAACGATGGAGCTATCACTTAATTATTATTAAGAGACAATTAAATAACAATGGTCACCATCTAATTGTGCGCATATTTTTAGCAGCCACTATACGGTTTCATTTTCGCACCGCTTTGAATGCCTTCGAGCTGCACTAACCAAATCGAATTGCCACTGAATATATTTTCATTGAACAGCCCGTGGAGTGTTTTCTTTACGCTTTGCTTCCTTACACAACAATCAATGCGAACAATTAGAGGTAATCATTCAGGGTGAATAATTCAGATTCGGACAAGTGGAGATGGTCCGTGTCGAGAGTTCGTTGCCTAAGTCTTTCGTTTTAATTTGCATGAAATATGAAATTTATCTGTTTCTGTAGCTGGATCGCCGTCCGCTGTCAGCACATATCATTCGGAAAACATAATAGCCCCCAAATGACCTCAGCAGCCGATCGAAAAGCCATCGAGAATTGATTGCTCAAGTGTTTTAACTGGAAGCGCTGCGAATACTTGATTTCTGTTTGCGTTAAGTTTCGATTTGCTTTGCTTTGGCTAATTCGGAATTAGCCACATTCTAATAAGGCTCGAGTATGATTAATAATCGCTGCCCATCAATTAAACAATGCCAAGTGATTAATGGTTCGCGTACGCAGTGGTAAAGAAAGAAGTTATAAACACTTCATATTGATCCGATATCGATTTTAGATGTTCAAGAGGCTTAACATCTAGATCAAGCTTGAATTTCAGGGTCATCTGTTGCCTCCTTTTATTGTGAATGCAAAAGATAAGCCCAATCGAGTTTAATTGCCATTTGATGGACACACTTGGCCGTAAATGGCCCGATCTGTCGACTCCACCGACCCCACGCAAAAATTTCCGGACAGCGAACAGTGTTGCAAAAAAGTCACCGTCTAGCTGTAAAAGGCATTTGTTTGGGTCCCATAAATCACTTAGCATCCGCTCGATTCGGTTACGTGAGATCTGTGGACACGCCTCGCTACTACAGATATTTTATATGTTATATGCTAATCTCTAACCCCTTACGTGTTTCCGTTGTCCGCCGCATTTGTATGCAAATGGGCCAAAACGCACATTTTAATCAATGAGTTTCGGCCCGATTCATGGTTTATCAATCAGCCTAATGAATAAAGTGTCGCAAATCGCCGCTCACGAATGTCACAATTAATCCATTTTGCATGTTTTATCTTTTTTTTTTCTTCAGCATGTGGCCACCCAGCTCCTGTCTGTGGTCGGCTCTCCTCGTCGGCCTCCTCATGGTGGGCGTGGCCCAGGGGCAGAGCAACAGTCGAGAGAACTTCGAGGATGCGGACAAGTCCAGCGAGTATACGGATCAGCAGTTCGACCTGCGGCACACGATTCCCGGCGAACCCGGACTGGATTATCCCATTCTGAGCTCCCCACCAAAGACGAGCTTTGTGTGCAAAGGAAGACATGAAGGTGGGTGCTTTCTCTTATAAAGATCAATGTATTAACCCTATAATTCGTTTAAAAATTAATGTAAAAACAGTCAAGATTTTTTTCATTATAAAAAAATGTATAAAGACTTTGACTTATATTATATGTATCATTATTACCATACTATATGATTAATATATCATTATTATATCATTAAAATTTATCAGCGCTTTAAAAAGCGTGTATATCGTCTTCTAATTTATTATAAAAAATGGTTTTGATTAAAATTGTCATTGTGATAGGAGAGTCATAAAAAAAATCGGATTAATTATTTCATAATAATAATTTCATACACACATCCAATCCAGATTTCTTATCTGCATAATTTATATTCCCCTACAGGTTACTACGCAGACGTGGAGAGTCGTTGTCAGGCCTTCCGGATTTGTGCCCATACCGCGCGAACCGCTCAAGGATTCGGATTCCTCTGTCCCAACGGAACCCTCTTCAGCCAGAAGAACTTTGTGTGCGATTGGTACCGCAATGTGAACTGCGATGAGTCCGAGAGATTCTATGAAATGAACGAGGAGAAAACCGTGGGCAGCACCCACGAGATGATGGAGCGAGTGCGTCACATGATGGAGTATCCCATGAAAACGATCTCGAAGGCATTGCAACAGACCCAATCTCAGTCGCAGAAACCACACCAAAGTTTGAGCAAGGATCTGAGTGGAGCTAGTGGTGTTTTGAGTCAACCAGCGGCTATTCAGAACAAAGATGTCCAGGAAACGCAAGTGGTTGGACGTGGAGAAGCCGTGAAAAGTGAGCCACTGAATGCTGTGAAAACGGGAAGCTCTCCTCTGGAAAACGAAGACGAGGGTATCTATGTGAATAGCTTGGGAGAACTTTCCTCAGATCCTGGTATTCAGTTTGATCACACCAATGCTCATATCGTGGCGGAATATCCCAGGGAATATCACTACCAAAAGCAGAAGAACTTTGCCGAGCGTGTGAATGCTGGCTTGGACGTCCTAACCGATACGGAATCCACCTCTGGGGAGGTGATAGCTCCCGATTACATGAAGCACATTCGGAACACCAAGGACGAGGCGGTGCAACTGGATCTTGTGTCAAATATCAACAACCTGCTGGATGAGGTATCCACCGATGTGGATCCCTCCGTTTCCGGCTACCAATCCATGGCTCCGCCGAAGGTTAAGCAGCCCTTCCGATTCCTGAGTCGAGGCTTCTCGATGCAGGGCGAGAATGGAAAGGGCAGTTCATCGGCGGGCTATGGTTACATTAAACCCAAGCAGACGCCCAGCACTGTCAGATTTACGGTAAGTTTGATTACTAACCTGGGAACTATCTCTCTCTATCATAACTTCTACTTCTATCTTAACTCTTTATATCTCTATCTATCTATCTTTCTATCTATATTGCTACTCTATCAACTATCGCTTACATACGCCACTCAAAAACCACAAAACCACACATATAAACACAATAACAGCCCAATGAGATACCCACTGATGATCACAAATCCATTGAAACCAAACACAAGTTCTCGAAAAGTACCTCAAGTACCAGCAGCACCACTTCGACAACCACTGAATCTGTAGAACAACTGCTGATAGCACCCACTTTGCCACCCGCTGAGGAGGAGGAAGTGACCACAACAGCAACACCTGAGGCTACCTCCACCTCAGCAGCAGAACCACTTAGCTTCTTGGCCCCTCCTCCAGAAGTTGTGTCTACGGGGGAAGTACCGCCCATCGAGTCCCTTGGCCAGGCAGCTGCTCTTACCGCCAGTCTGCCGATTAGCGAGGATGTAGTCCCAGTGGAACTGAGTCCCGAATCCGCTGAAAAGAACGATGTGCATCAGGAGGCAGCCAAGTTGCTGCTGGCAGGTGTGCAGCTCACCTCGCACAACGAAGAGAAGGCCTTGGAGAGGAACGAAATAGAGGTCACCAGTACCACAACCAGCAGTCCCATCACCCCAGTCATGCTCACATCCACTGAAGTGGTGACCGAGATCAGTAGCACTCAGGAGCGCATTCGTGGCTACCGGAAGAATCGTCCTGGCGCCATGTTAAAGCGAGCTCACATTCGTCCCTTGCCCGTGGTGCGCACCACCACGGCAGCCACCACGCAGAGGAGCACTGCACCCACCAGGAGTTACCTGGAACGCCTGGCAGCGAGTAGGCTGCGCCTCTCCAGACTCTCCCAGGCCACCAGGAGCACATCTACGACCCAACCCAGTACAACAACACCAGCCACGACAACCACGACGGTGTCCTCCTTCCAGCAAATCCGTGGTGCTGCTGAACCGGGTCCGAATAAGAAGCTCACAGTGCGCGACATTGATCGCGAGACCAGGATTGCACCCAGCAAGGCCAGCTGGGACTCGGTGCACAGCAACCTGCAGCGTTTCCAGGTGCAACGCGGCAATCGAGTGTACACACCAGCAACGCGAGCTTCTGTTAGCAATGTGGGAGTCACCAGTAGTACAACTACCACCCAAAGGAGCTTCATCATAGCCACTTCCACCCCACGATCAACGGTTACTATAAATCGTGGAAAGAATCGCTACTCCAACTTCAAAACCCAGGCGCCCGTGCAGAGAACTCGGGGAACCACCACACCCAGGAGCACCACATTGCGACCCACTTCGTCGCTCTCCTCGCTGAACCAACACATTTCCGCTCTGGCATCGAACTATAATGCTGGCTATCAGATCAGCAAACCCATCCAACAGTCACCACTGTCACCATCACACGTTTATGCCACACACACCGCCAGCGATATCGCTGCCCACGCCTCCCAATCCCAAACCACATCCAGCCTTTCCCCCGCCTCCGCTTTCCTTTCCTTCGATAAGTTAACCCGTGCCATTGTTGACGAGTCCGTTTTGCAGAATTTCAAGAGTGCCCAGTCGCAGGGTTCCAACCAACAGCAGCAACATCAAGCGGTCAAGCAGCAACATCACTCCGTCAGCAGCAGCTACGTTAAGCCAGCAGCAGCGCCAGGTGAGGATTAGCCTTTAAAAAGATTGTTTTCCTAATCCAATAACCTCTTCCCAAATTTTTAGCTATTTCCAGTCTGACAGCACCGCCTCGTCCTCAGTTATCTGAGCTACCGCCTCCGCCCGGAATTGTGATTGCTCGCGCTGAAGGTCAACGTATTGCTCCCAACTCCGCCAGCAACATCATCTCAAACTTGGCCACCCAAGCACCACCCGCTACTAGTAACCAAGGCAACTCGTATGTTTCGCTCAACGATTTTCTGAACAACAAGTTCGGTCAGAGTCCTGCTAGCAGCAGCAATATTGCACCTACTGCATCCTTGCAACAGCAACAGCGAGTGCCGCAACAGCAGCAGCAATATTATCAGCAGCAAACCGTTCAGCAACAACGCGGGCAAAAGCAGCCTGTACAGCATCAACGTCAGTCTGTGCAGCAGCAGCAACATCAGACTGTACAACAGCAACATCAGCCTGTACAACAGCAACGTCCAGCTGTGCAGCAGCAATTGAGTTTTATATCACAGCAATACCAACAGCCTCAGCAGCAACAGACTATCTACCAGCAGTACCAACAGCCACAGCAGCAGCACTTCCAGCAACAACAGTTCCAGCAGCAGCAACAGCAACACCAACGTCCCACCATTCACACCATCCAGCAACCCTATTTGACGCCCAACATTTTCGTGCCCTACCAGCAGCAGCAACAGCAATTGCCGCAGTTCCCGCCTCTGGCTCCTCCGGTGGCCGTGGCCACGGGGAATATTGCTCAGGGACCCGTGATTGCCGGACGCCATGTGGATCACCTGAATGTGCAGCTGCCCACGCTGGGAAATGGCTTGATACCCGGACTGCAGTTGGCCCAGAAGCGCAGTGATGTGTCGGCCAGTCAGCTGCAACTCACGGATACGAATGGCAAGGGAAGCTTAAGCCTCTCCGGATCTGGAAAGAGCCGGGAACGAGCCTTCTACGCCGGACGCACATCCTATGATGTTCCCCAGAGCAGCGTGGGTCGGTTGCCCAATGATGTTACGCAGCAGCTGCGCAGGAGATTGCGTCGCTTCTAGACGAGATTTCGAGATTAACGAGCTAGGACTAGTAGAACCTTAACTTATAGCTAAATTAGTAAACTATTTATGCCTAAGCTAAGTCGACAATTGTTCAAAATCCATACTCTATTCGTATGTATGTGTGTGTATATTTTTGCATATTTATTGATAAATAAAACGAAAAATTTACAAAAACCCTCCGTTTGCTTGTGAGATTAAGTTTTTATTGTTTATACGTTTTAGAGTTTTAAAATTATCAGCAATACGTACAGACCTTACTGAATACGAATACAATACAGGGTTTCGTTTTGCTGGCTTTAACTTTTCGCTTAAATTAACATTACTAATAATTATACGCATATTATATTGTTTTACAATATTCCATTTGTAATTGGGCTTCGAATGTTCTCGCTTACTTGGTGTCAAACATTTTCTATTTATACTTAACTTTACTGCAACTTCACATCGCGAATATATCAATTGGAATCCCCCATAGCTACTTCAGTTATCTTGATTACTCGGTTGGTATTATCGGTATGGCATGGAGTATTCGTTTATACAAACAGACTGAATTCAACTAAACCGAATTATCAATTATCAATTGGCGCATGTGATGCAGTTGGGTGGGCATTGGACATGGGGGTATTTTGGAGGCTTTAAAATTAGTTAGAACTAAAAGGTACTAATGTAAATGTGCAGGACTATGCGAAAGAATAATTTAGGAATTGACTTAAACATAAACAACTAAGGATGCATCAGGCAAACTAACTAACTATAACGTGGCAAACGCTCTGATATCGTCTGTGCGGTGCGTCAAGCCTTAAAATGTACAGCGGATTTATACAAAATTACGAAATGCCCTCCTGGCGGCGACGACGGCAGTCGGAAACTTATGTACAAAGCTTAAGTAAAATGTGCAGCGTTCTGCGGATTCGGTTGGGTGTTTGGATTCGGAGTCGGGAGTCTGGGGATCGTGCCTTTAACGCTCAACGCTTGGCGACCAGGCGGCATTTCTGGACGCGCACGCGTACTCAGGGAAGCGAATGAATGTTAAACGGAGGTGGCGGAGCGGGTGCGGGAGCCGGCGCAACTGGCACCTCCACAGGCGCTAGCGGCTCTGATTTCATGGGTTCCTCAACATCCGGCTCACCGCCATGCAGCTGGCAGTATACCTTGCGATCCTGCTCGCTCAGGTTCCACTTCGCAGATCGCGCGCACGGCACATGGGCGGCCGCCTTGCAACATCGCTGGAAGCAACATATACTGGCCCCCGTCTGCTGGCAGAGCACGCAGACGTACCTCGTACTATCCCACACCGCCGCATCCAGTCCGTTGATGTGGGCCCCAATCAGTTGGATGTCGTTGCTCCAGACGGCGCAGTCCTCGTGCAGCCAAACCTCAAAGCCGTGCTCCGATGTCTTGCCCATGCCGCGGAAGGTCTCCACGAACTTGGTTTCGTGACTGCAATCCAGCGGGTCCACAGAGGAGCACTGTGAGCGCGATTCATTTGGGTCGTCGCTGTAGGATATCGAACTGTCGTGCGTCTGCTTGCGCTTGCGTTTGTGCTGGAAATGCAATAAGTTAAAATTAGTTTATAAGTTCTTATTAGAGCCCTGCGTGAATCATTCTATTTTTGTTTTATTATAGTATGCCATGAAATTTCTGATTTATTTAATTCAATTCTATGTGAAATAAATTGAATGTTTTTCTAATTCATTTCGAATTGAATGAATGAATGAATGATTTTTATGAATTTTTTGAATTTGCCAGATTTTTGTTGTGCTTTCTTTTAGGCCGAAATGAAAATCTCCATACAAAATTTTGAACACGAAATTTTCCGCCTGTCATTTTTGTATAGAAATTTTCGCTTCGTTGGCTTTTTGATTGAAGTGAGAACTAGGCCTTAAGAACAAAAAGTGGAAAATTTTTAACAAATTAATGTTAACTGCTTAGTAAATAAAATTCAGGCAGATTTAATCACAAATTTATGGCTCTTTCTTCTTCAAAAGAAATTGTCGTTTGAATTATTTCGAATTGAATTTCATGCCATTCATTCATTAAATTATATTAAAATGAAAATTCAAATTCATTCAATTCTATGAACCTCAACATTCTAATTAATTCATTCATGTAAAACAAAAAATTCAAAATAATTCATTGAATCCATTCATGCATTCATCTTATATCTTATCTCACCATGCTTATCTTGGGCGCCTGCATAATGTGGGCCAGTGTGGCGGGCACAACGGGCAAGTTTCGCTCCTGCAGCTTTACCATATCCTCTCGCCTCCGCTTATTGACAAACAGTCCATCGATGTCCTGCGCTCCGGGTGCCTGCACAGCCGCACGATATTCGTCGCAGTCGCTGGTCACCAAATACGGACCGAACAGATCACCCAGGCCTAGTTTATGAGGACCACGCTTGCAGAACACACATATCCAGGTGGAGTCGGTGGTATCCGCATCGTAGCGGTTGCTCAGCGTGGAGCTGTGCATTCCTCTCAGGTTTTTTCGCTCGTGCGGCGCCTTCTTGGCCTTCGTCTGCTTCTCGTTCACATCCTCGGCACTGTGGGTGTTCTTGATGCTCACGCATCCGTCCGGTTTGATGAGAATGAAGGGAGATTTGAACCTCAGCTCGGGCACGGCTCCTCCTCCTCCGCCATTTGTGGGCGCCGGAGTGCTATCCTCATCGGTGGTGAAGGCGGGCTTTCGGCCCGGCTTCTTCCCATTCTGCTTGGCATTCTTCGCATTTGCCTTTCCCGCCGCATGACCTTTTTTGCCCTTGGCCACGGCATTCTTCTTCTTCGCTCCGGCTGCTTTTCCCTTGGGAGCGGCAGCTGCTTCGCTTAATTGCCGAGCAGCCAAAGCAGCAGCCGCTGCCGCCGAAGTGCTGGGCTTATCATCATCTTCAAGTTCCGGCTCTGGCGCGACCTTCTTCTTGCGACCTGGCTTCTTGGCTGGCGGGTCGTCGATCATGAAACGCAGCAGTGAGGCATCCATGCCCATGGAAAGCCTACGCGGTGGCGGTCTCCTAGCTGGCATGGTTTTAGGCGGAACCGGGGTATTCGGTTTACTGTCATCACCGGCGGCCAAAGGTGTCGACGTAGATCGAGCTTGCGGGATGGGACTGTGAACGGGGCTGGGTAGCGTTGACTTCATAGCCGCCTTAGTCGCAACAGGTCGAATTTCGGGCGGTGCTGCCAGGACTTCGAGCACTGAGGTCTCAACCTTGTCCGCTGGCGCCTCGTCCGTCTTGGCGCTATCCAGAGCCAGCTGGGCGGTCAAATCGTGTGCCACCAACTCTCCCGTTCCGTCAGCTGGCTTTTCGGGGCTGCATATCCTTTCCGTCTCCTCCTCGATGCCGGCAAACATTTCCTCCAGCTTATCCTCCACTTCACCAAATGGACATGGGTCAGAATTGGCAGCCGGTGAGGATTTCTTGGGGGATTCGACCACTGGAGGGGGAGCAACAGGCTGCGCAGGTGATTCCTTCGCTGGTTCCTCCTCCTCGTCGCACTCGTGCACACTCACAGCCGGCTTGGCGTCGATGTCGCCCTGCTCCACGAGCGCCGGTGAGGCAGGCGTATCCGTGGTGGCCTTGTTGTTGATCTCAGGCTTTTGATTTCTCCGATTATCATTCGCCGCATGACTGCTGCTGTGGCTGCTGTGCGTGTTGGCGCTGGAGCTGCTCGAGCTACTGCTACTGCTGTTGCTCTGCGGACTAGGCGGCGGCATTGTGGGCGGCGTATGCTTCTTGGGCGGCTCATCCTCCTGCTGCATGCGGTGCTGCTCGGTGAGGTTCCGCTGCAGCAGGGCCTGCCGCTGCTTCTTGGTCTTGGGGTTCTCGTTGTCCTGATACAGCGTCGAACTATTGCTGTTGCTACTGTTTTCCGCCGGAGCCGGTGATCCTGCGCGACCGTTTTCCTGCGGCGTCGTCTTTTCAGTCTGGCCTTGCAAACTGAAGGGCTGAAAGTCACCGCCTCCATTCTTGGGCGACCTTTTGGGACTGCAGCTGTTATTATGTTGTGCTTGTTGCTGCTGCGGCTTGCTCGCTCCTCCCTCTGGTGCATTTTCATTCGGAGTCACTCTCATCACCATACTGGCCTTTCGTTTGCGTCGCTTTCGACTATTGCTGCTGTTGCTGTTCGACTCCAGCGACTCCTCGTTGGAGGTGGTCAGGTAGGGGGACTCTGGGGCATCTGCGGGTTTGTCTGCCTCCGAATTCCGGTAGGACAGATCGGTTATAAGGGGCTGCTCCTCCGTCTCGGGTTTGTGCTTGACCCCCAGATCGAGATTCGTCAATTGCGGGTTGCGGGAATGGTGCGTCTGATGTTGACTCGAGGAGGACGACGCCTGCTGTTGGGCTGCTGCATCCTGTGCTTGTCCATGAAACTGACCGCTGGTCAAGTGGGGCGGAAGAAGGGGCGGCGGAGCTGTTTGGCTGGCCGCATGCTGATTGTGGTAGTGCAAGTGCGCTTGTGATTGCGTTTGATCCTGCTGCATGTGCTGCTGGTAGCTGCCTCCACTAGAGCTATTTAGCTGATGGTGGAGATGCAGCTGATTGTAGTCCATGGTGGGTGATTGCATCTGATGAGGAGGCGCCGCCAGCGGAGATTGAGGCGTTGGCGGCGTCTGTGGTCCATTGTATTTGGGCGTTAAGTTGTAAGGCGGCTGCTGCTGCTGCTGTTGGTGGTAGTTCCGCAGAGGTGAAGCTAAAAAAAGGGTTTTAGATTGGTATATTAATATATTTTGAAAGACACTTCTTACGTTTCTTGTTGCCATGCTGCTGCTGCACGTTGTGCGTGGGCAGTTTGCTTGCTGATCCCGCCGACGGGTAGCCAAAGTCCTTGTCCTTCTGCTGATTCTTCCCCGAGAGCAGTTCGTGGTCAAAGCTGCGCTTCAATTGCGCCAGCTTAAAGTTCTCATCGCGAGTTTGCATGTAGTGCGGGCTGGTTATGTGATTGTTGCTCCCACTATTGCTGCTGCTGGTGTTGCTCCCCGCGTGATTGCTGTTCCCAGAGGCATTTGTAGGCGGCGGTGGCGGCAGCAGGGACTCGCAGTCGCCGCCGTTGCTCAGGTTTCCCTGATTCTGGCGGCTGGACTGCAGTAAACTAACATGGGCAGCTGCCATGGCGGCCAGATGTTCCTGTTGCTGCTGCTGTTGCAGCTGTGCGCTGGTGGGCGTGGCATTGGTCGTGAGATTTTGACTGTTTGGTAGATAGGAATTAGTTTTATGACCTGGACAAAGGACAGATACACTTACATTGAAGGATAGTTGGGCGCATGCATGAGGGATTGCTGCTGTTGCGACTGCTGTGGCTGCTGGCTCGCCGGCTGCTTGGCCAGCGGCTGGGCCGCACTGCGGGCGGACTGCAAGGACAGGTCCATGGAGTTGAATGGCAGAGTTCCTGAGTAGGGCGGTGCCAGCAATGGATTCATCTGATGGTGGTGGTCCAGCTGGGGAAATAAATATCTTAACTTAGTAATCCATTGACTAACTTATACTTAAAACATAAAGGACTCAAAAAAGCAAACTAGGATAACAACAACTCAACTAAACGAGGCTAAAGGAAGGCTTCTACGAAGGAATCGAGAGCATGCTTTGGTGGGTTCTACTAGGATGTGGATTTCTTGGCGGCTTTATCTCGGCTCTTCCCGGCTTTTGGCCTAATTACGTTTTTGTGATTGGCCGACATGAAATTGTAAATGGCATCGGGTGGCGGCGGTGGCTGGGCGGAAACGGATCCGGAAACGTGCCAGGCCAGCGGGGATCGCACCATTCCGGGCCGCTCGTTGGACATGTGAGCCAACTGCGGCTGCCGGGGGATGTACGATGGAATCTGAGGATTAGAATGGTCAGCTTTCTGATTCTGCTACACGGCATAGATCCTCTACTCACTTGCAGGGGATTCCAGGAGGCGTTCTGAGCCGCCTGACTGAGATGCCCGGCATGCGGATGATTGTTGTTGGCCATCTCGTTCGGCTAACTCATGGGTCTTCGTCGTCCAGGCGCAATCCTTCGGCACAAATGCGGAATGTCAAAGGGAAAAACCGACAGCTGGAATTGCGGGGGGCGGGGGGGTTGTTTCGGTAGTAGGAGGGAGGGAATGGGCGACCTAGTCTCGCTGGGAAGGATCCTGTGCACAGGACTTGCTAACTCCGGCCGCAAAGCCGCTGCTCTTTTTCGCCCATAAACAAGACCGCACGCACTTTTTTCACACACCACCCACACAAACCAACCCACTCGGAAAAGGCAAAAAAAAGGAAGGAAGGTTTTTCGCCGCTCTCGTGGTCCTTGCGCGATAACGCGATAACAGGGCAGCCGATAGCACAGCCTATCGGACGCTACGCCAAAAGCACGCGGTCTTTCGCACTGCCGAACGTCCTGACTTCAATGTTTTTATGCCTCTGCTCCATGACCAGTTGTTTGTGGCTTTTGATCGAAGCTATTTTTTGTTAATTAATGCAACTGCAGAGTCATTTACTCGTCACCGGGGTGGGGAAACTGTGTTGTACCTCTTGATTTTCAGCTGCAGCGCATTGCGAATTCGTTGCGACGGCGTGCGAATTTTTCTTGTTTTGGGTCGCGCAGCGCAGGCAATTCCCCAAACGGGCTCCAAAACGCGTAAACGGTCTCCGTTTTTGCGGCTAACACATCGCGGCGCACGAGGAGGGCCAAGTGAATATTATTTTTCAAATGCCGCAATGTTGTTGCAGTGTTTTTACGTGTATTTTCAATTGTTTAAAACAAAATGTAATTCATTAGAGCTGGGACAAGAGTCGATTGTTATGCGATACTATTGATGTGTTGGGAAATTCGCCAACATCGATTTTTTTCATCTACCATCGATAAATATCACTGTTTTCACTGTCGCGATTTCCAAAATTTTTAATAAAAACGGAGTAATTTTATGTAATTAAAGTTTTTTAATTTATAAATGACGCATCGTGATATTTTAAATAATTTATAGATTTTCCTAACGGTAAATCTAAAAAATACCAAAAACACCGCTAGGGGAAAATGGTATTTTTCAGCCCTGGTCAAAATGCAATAACACGCCGACAATTACGAATTGCAAGACAAAATGAGCGCGGGAAAACGAGGAGCCTTGATAATATTCGAAGGATGCGATCGCAGTGGCAAGACCACCCAAAGCCGCCTGCTGCGTAAGTGATTAAGATCCCCATGAAACCGGTCGACCCAGAAACGTAACCAACAAATCTCCTCCAGTTGAACTGCTAAAATCAAAGGACATTCCCGTTTTGCCCATGAACTTCCCGGAACGCAGCTCCAGCATTGGCCAGGTGATAAACTCCTATTTGACCAACAGCAAGGATCTGCCCGATGAGGTTATCCACCTCATGTTCTCCGCCAATCGCTGGGAGCACATGAACCAGGTGCGGCAAAGGTTGCTGGAGGGAAAAACCCTAATTGTGGATCGATATTCCTACTCCGGAGTGGCCTACAGTGCGGCCAAGGGATTGGACTTCGACTGGTGCTATGCTCCGGAAAGGGGCCTCATAAAACCAGATGCAGTTTTCTACCTAAAAGCCTCCGCCGATGACCTCACAAATCGCGAGCAATACGGTGAAGAGCGGTTGGTATAGGTGGAATTATATGATCCTACAGATTACTATATCCCCTATCCCATTTGCAGTTACGAAAAGGTGGAGTTCCAGGGACGAGTGGCCCAGGTATTCGATCGCATCTGCTCCAAGGAGGGCAGCTATTGGCACCAGTTCGATGCCAGCCAGCCAGCCAAGGATTTGCATGCCCAGATAGCGAGTATAGCGGAGGCCATCCTGGAAAAGGTAGCCAACCAGCCCCTGGACAAGTTATCATAGCCCAGGTCCGTGTATCGCCATTCATTAGAGGGGATTTACCTTGATTTATGCAATACACGAGTGTTTGTTATAAATGTTTTTAAATGGCGCTTAACTTTTAATTTACGATAAGGCCGCAGGCAATAAATCCAAGGACGTCGTTAGGTGTTGAGCGAAATGCATTTACAGCACAGAATTCCGAATTGCACATCAAGTGGATTAAGCAGCGGGATTTAATATTAAGCCCGCTGGCAGATGCAATTTAATTTCCGTAATCCCCGCCCACTCATAAAAAGGCGAGCCCAGATTTTGTTGCTCCATTGTAGTTTGTTTATTTTATACTTCATTACTGAGGGCACTCTCTCTTGACTAAATGCTAGGCTAAAGCGAAAAATAATTTATGCGGATCAAACTTAGTTGCTAAACCACGAAAAAACTAGTTGAACATAACTAGTTGAACTCGTAGCTCTCGTAGCCCAAATCCTCGCGTCGACTGCGTGGTGCTGCCTTAGGATTCCTCGTCCTCAGCGTCAGTTGGCGGTAGCCCACTCCCGGCTTGTAGTCCACATTGATGGGGGCATGGGGTCGCAGACCGGACACGCCTCCCCGTCTCTTCTGCGCCTGGTGGTAGAAGGCTATGTCGCCGTAGCTGTGCTTCGGCCACATGCACTCGCAGCCGGAGGGAACGGTCCGCGTCTCCGATTCCCAGCAGCCGGAGGCGTCGTTTAGCCGAATCAGGTGGATGGTGCGGTTGAGCTGGATGCACGAGAAGCCCGTCGCTGAGCAAATCTGCTTGGGAAAAAGCCCCTAAGTAATTTAATTGATTTTTTAAGAATTAATTTATAAGCCCACCTCCCGCTTCTCGCCGCGTTCGGAGAGCAGAGCTCGGAGCAGTTCATTGCCCCTGTAACCGTACTCGTAGTTGTGGGTCCTCGAGGGCTGCGGCGAGTAGCTGTGGGCACAGGTCACCTCCACGTAGTGGTTGGGTCGGTAGTCGCCACTCTCCAGCTTCACGGTCACGCGATTCGTGGGGCACAGCGACTGATAGGTTACTACCTGTGAATGAAAAAGATTGTGGAAAGGATTAAGATGGTTATAAGACTGGATTTAATAGTAAATGAAACCAATTATTGACTCGGTTTCAAATGTGATAAGATTAAGACTAAAACCCTGTTATTACTAGACTTCTGAATATATGCGAAGTTAGTTAGGATGAAACTATGTTAAAAAAAAATAAAAAAAATTAATCTCATTTTGAATTTTTTGTAAATTTTATCAATTTATCATATTTTTTAGGTTTTGAATAAACATTTGAACATCAATCGATTGAGAATTTTTACCAAGAGTTCAAGGAGGTATGATATTCAATTTTTGGGGCTTGGGGATTGGAATCAATATTATAGGTAGGTTATTATATTTTCAACACATGCTTCTGTTCTTTTTTTTTAATCTGAAAACTTATTTTTTAATCTTATAATATTTATTTCATTCCAATGAAAGTACTCACCCCATCTGCACTGGGATTGGGACCGAGAAACGGAACCGAAGGCATCACACTGCGAACGCGGCGCTTGCGCACATTCTGGATCCCGTAGGGCAGATTGGCACTCAGCTCGTCCGCATCCTCGACCTGACCCGCATAATCCTCCTCGCCCTCAATGTCCACGTCATCGAGAACGCCAGTTGGGAACTTATTGTCGGGGTACTCCGGCTGACCTGGTTCTCCCGCTCCTGTTTCATCCATGGCTGCCCTGAAATTGCATATGCATGGAAATTTGTTAGTTTTGGCCATGAATTAGCGCCGTTTTCATCTCGCGGCCCACTGGAGCTGCTTTGGCCTCCACGGCTGTCTGATGTCTCCGCAGGCAGGCGGAAATGACTGCAAAAGCGGTTTTACAGAGAGAAAAAAAAATGATAATATAATTTCTGAAAAAATACTGGTAGGTAAAAAAAATGTTCATATAATTTAACATAATTTATTGTGAAGAAAAACATTTTTTGATGCATTTGTGCTTGTTTAAAAATGTAATAAATGTTCTAAGCGACAGTAAAAATATTAAATGCCAAAAAATATTCAGTTTGCAATTAAAGACTGTTTTTGTAATTGTTTGATTTTCCTATAAGATTATAATTATTAAATCCGTGTAAGAACAAATTTTCAGGATTTTTTCCTATGTGGTATTTGCCTGCGGTGGCGTGGTTAAAAAAATAAATTCGTTTTTGACGTTTGTTATTTGCATGGCCGCCGCTTCTTTTCTGCAATTTTTCCAGCTGGCCAACAAAAGCGCATCATTTTGCATTCAACTGCAGCAAATGCCAATGAATTTTTTAGCTTTCGCTTTGGCGCGCGGCTTTGTTTGAGGATTGGGTACAGCTGGATTCATGTTGGGGGCCAGGAGATGGAGATGGAGATGCTCATGGTACTGGGTTGTCCTGAGCCTGTGGCGCTGCACAAAGCTCTCCGCTTCGCGAATGTCGCTGGCTGCCAGCGGATTTCCCCTTTTCGTTGTCGATGCTATAGTGCAGCTCCCTTGCCCTTATTCCTATGTGTATATATATATACCCACCCCCTCTTCCTATTCTTCCTGCCCCGAAGCTTTATCTTTTACATCCAGCGGCGTTGGCATTTTTGAAGCGCGCTTTCAGGGCAACAACGGCTTTGATAGTTTTGTCGCAAAGTTTGCGAAAATGTTTTGAAACGAATGCAGCTGGAAATAGTTGAGGTGAGCGGTTGGTTTACTGTTTACTGTTTTGTCGTCCTGTGACAGCGACAAGTGAATAATTGTGGGATTTATCAGAGTCTTTTCCAAAGGTTTAATCTGAATCGATTTGGGTTGACAGTGAGCTTGAGCTGTGCTAAAAGATTGAAGCCATTTTTTTGTATAAAAAGGTATTATTGATCTCAAGTAGAAAGTAGATTTCAAGAAAAAACTGTAACACTTAGAAACTAAGATTAATTTTTTAAATTTATTTTAGGATTATATTAATAAATTCTAAAAGTATTTTTGGTTGATGTGTATTTTTTTATTATACTAAATTGTTTATTTAGGCTAATTCCATTTTAGCAATGGGTATCCTTTTGACAACAACCACTCCTTGAAGTTTTCTCTCCGTCAATCCTCAGTAACATTTTGGGTTGAATTTATTTTGTCTGGCTTTAGCTATCGTTTGCTATTCATTTTTGGTGAATGCAAGACGCAGATTACGTAATCCCTGGCTAAGAATGCACATGATCCTTGCAGGTCCTGATCTCGTTCAGTCCGACAAAGGGGATAAAAACCCAGTCGACTGAAGGAATCAGCTTAAGTGCTTACGTTTGTGCTCATGCTTACGTCATGGGATGTCGGCATTGACATTTAGTTGATATGCAACCAGAAAACCAGAGCCAAGATTATTCCGACTGGCAGGATAGGGAATTCTGCAGAAGGAGCAGGACTAGGAGGAACTGGAATGGGAAGGGGTACGAACCGTACGGCTTCATTCTCTTTTGTTGACTCGAATCATTGGCGGTCACATTTGCCGGAATGTGAGCCCAATGAATTTGAAGCAAGTCCTACTATCCGCCACTATGGCTAATTTTCCCCATTTGGGTTTTCAGCTTTTGCCTTGATTGGTTACCTATTCAGTGGTGGCTATTACGTACGGCGATGTACCTTTAGGTACTTTTTTTAAAACCTTTCTTAAAAATTAAAATTTTTTTTTTTAATCCGTTTGGTTTGGCTATTTTATGTACTCAATGTACATTTAAAACCGTTTTTTTAAATCTTGCCTAACTAAATATTGAAATTTTTTTAAATGTAAAAAAAAGGATTTGGGACTTAATACCACATTTTAATTCAAATCAATCTATTCACGACCAATTTAGCATATTACATGCGTTAAAATATAATATTTTTTAAGTTTTGGATTAGATTTGACGGTTAACTGTCAGTTAAGGAACTTAACAATTTCATTCAATTTGATTTCTGGTTGTTAGATCTTCAAGGGAATTTTTTTTTTGATTTTGCTTAAAGGATTTTCAAAATAACTAAATGGATAAGCAATAAATTAGCTATAAATTAGTACTAATATCTTTGAGTATATTTTAATTTTATTATAAAAGAAAAAAACTGTTACCTTTCCCATCACTAATCTTACCTTTGGTTGATGTTGCTGCTGCGGCTGCGACGTGCCAGCAACAATTGCTCCTGCTCCGGTGGTTGCAGCCAGTTGATGTTGCTGTTGGTTTTGCTATTGCTATTGATGTTGCTGTTGTCCTGGTCTTGGTACTGTTCCTGGGCAACAGCAAACCTGCCCACACCTTGAACGGCCGCATTTAAGTTGGACAATTGCAGACGGAAGTCATTGCGAGCATTCTCTGGATCATCATCAAACTGTCCCTGTTGCTGTTGTTCCAATTGCTGTTGCTGTTGCTGCTCATGTTGCTGCTGCCGTTGTAGATGTTGCTGCCTGTCGTATATGCTGTGGATGGGATTTCCGTAGAGTTTTTGCTGCTGCTGCTGCTGCCATTTGGCCGGTGCTTTGTTGTAGTTATAGTTGTCATTGTTGTCGTCCTCGTTGCTATCTGCAATGCCATCAGCATCCACATTCGCATCCCCATTCCCATCCCCTAGCTCCCACTTGTAGTTGTAATCGTCGTAGTTGTTGCTGTTGTCCGCCGTGCTCCTATAGCCATATCTATTGTTTTTGAGCCCCGGCGTCGATTCCATCGCCTCGTCGCAGGCCAAAGCGAGCGTTCGTCTGGAAGAGCCACTACCAAAACAGCGAGCAGCTAGAATGGCGGCCAGGAGCAACTGCAAATGTGGCAGAAACAAAGAGATTTGGGCGATAAGAAGGGTGTGCGGCACAAACGGAAATGTTAAACAATTGTTGTGTGGCTAATAAACTGCAAAGTGTCAACAGTTGGGCGAGAGTGTACGTTGTTTGCTGACAAAAACCCCCTCTTGTCATGCAAATATAGTCATTCGAATGGCAAACAATACAGGCGGATTAATATTTATCACATGAGATTAGATATTCACTAAATGGGTTCATAAAAAGAGTGTTTGCGCATCAGAAGCTTATGGAAAACAATATCCCCACCACAAGATTGGCAAATAAATGTGAGTTTTATAATGGGATTTATCAAATGCTAATGCACTTCTTATATACTTTGGGTATAACATGTTTAAATCGCATAATAGGATATTTTGAATTAATATTTCAATTCAAGCGATATTTCATCCTGAAATAGTATTTAATTGTCAGTAAAAGTGATGATTGTTATAAACACCCTATCAATTTAATCTAACCATAAATACTTCAGCAGCAATTTTTCCAGGAAAATTTTAGAGAGCGTATGTATTTATGGTTCTTTCCCCGTTTTGTGATTTATGGCTGTTCAGGTGACGTATTTGCTTTGCTCTTATCAATTGGAAATCAATACAATCTTTTAATCAGAATTATGAAGTATCAATTGGACAAGTACTTATCAAAAAATATTACAGAATTTCTAAAATTACCGAGATGTTTGTTTGTCAATTACTTAAAATAAGCGCTTAATTAATTTCCAATTTTATCAGAACTAAGCAAAGTTTCTGCGAAACCGAAACTTTGTAGCCGAGTGCTGCAACCCGAAAATCGACCACTAATTCAACTAAGAACAAGTACTTATCAAAAAATATTACAGAATTTCTAAAATTACCGAGATGTTTGTTTGTCAATTACTTAAAATAAGCGCTTAATTAATTTCCAATTTTATCAGAACTAAGCAAAGTTTCTGCGAAACCGAAACTTTGTAGCCGAGTGCTGCAACCCGAAAATCGACCACTAATTCAACTAAGAACTCAACAAAATTCCGATTGACGAAACCGAAAACTTAAACAGCCTCCAAGTTCCCAGTGCGCCGGCTAAAGGGAAAGTTCAATTCCCTGCTGGATGTTGACAATCAATGTGCGTTAAGAATGGAATAACGTCAGGACCAAAACCGAACCCAAATAAGATGAAAAGTTTTCGGGTGGCTTTCTTCCCCCGCCCCCCTCTGACTTCCACTCTGAGGTTTCCCAATCCTCTGGAACACGAAAGTTTTGGGCAAGATTTTCAGACATGTCTGTATTTGTGTCTGGTGGGGATGTGCGATGGTTCTGATTATGTGGTCTGTCCACAAAAAAGTGCCCCAAGTGAAAATAGTTGGGGCGACCTTTAGCGATAATATGCTGCACGCGCTTCCTATCCTATATAGGCATCCAGATATAGTCATATACAGCTACATTCATTAGAGGCACACACTACGTGACCGAATAGTTGGCGCCGGAAATGCTCAAAACTAAGATATGAACACAGTGCTCCAGCAGCTCCATTTCCCGTTTCCCACTTTTCCCAGTCGCTCTACAAGTTCTTTTGTCTCAATTTTGTTTTTACATGCACTGGAATAAATTCCAGAAATCATTTTAAAGCTGAAGTGTATATTTAAAAATAATTTTTTTAAATTTCAAGATCAAGATAATTATAATTATTCTAATAATAATTTCTCTAATCTGAAATGTTATATTTTTGTTGAGGTATTACAGAAATAGCTTTTTATTTTTTACAGGTTTTACATTTAAAGCTCAATCTTTTCAAGTTTAATATTTCAAGCCTATTAAATGAAAATATTTAATCAGATGCAATCGCATTTTTTCTGTGTATTATATGTGCTTGTATATGGCTGTATGTGCAAGTATCTCGGATATATGCAAGTGTTGTTGCCGCTCTGGATTTATAAGATTTCTTTTATGCTCTTGCCGGGCCTACCACAAAACTTCTTTCATTTATCTCGGCCGCTTCTTCACTTTCGATCCCCATCCCCATCTACATCTCCCCGGCGGAGCATTTCCAAGTTTGGGGAGGGCCCAGCAAGTTTGTCAAACTATTTGTATGGAATTCACAATTTGTGTTGATGAAGTTTCGCCCCAAGTCCAAGTCGGTCCAAGTCGCCGGCTTACGAAGGCGACCGCGTGATCTGCGTGAACTGTGTGAACAAGTGTTTATGGAATTGAATTATTTTCTTTCTTCCTTTTTTATTTTCGTACTGGCTTGGATTTTCCCTAGTTTTGTTTCTGGTAAAACCAGGTGGGTAGCTGGGTGGGAAAAGCTTTGCGTGTTATCTGTTTTTGAGGCTTACAGGTGGCTTTGTCTTAGGCGTGGGCACTCTCACTCGCTTTGTGTGATTTAAAGTGGCCTCAATAAGCCGATTTCTTGGGTCAAGCTGCCTGAGAACAAAGTAAATTTTACTCTGGTGTCAGCTTAATGCTTCCAAGAAAAGGCTGTTATTTCTAACACCATTAACTATTAACTATTATAAATTATTTCAGAGGAGTTTGTTAATTATTTTACAGAGTTTCGTTCAAAAGAGCAACTTTAACTTTAAAAACGTTTTGTTAAATACATGCACTAAATAAGAAATTTACAAAATACTAAGTTGTAAATAGTTTTTATAAGCTATACAGTATTTTACCCAGGATTTTACTCATTCTTAAAGGATAATTATTATTATTGAGATTTACCTTAAATGGTTCTAATGACTGCCATTATTAAATAAATTTCCAAAACTGTTAGAATTTTTTTTAAGTTTTTAATAACCCATTTCCATATTATAAAGGTGTTAGTTCTATGATTTATGGGTAAACGGTGTCCCAAGGGTACTTTAATTAAAAATGCAATGATATAACTTTATCACTACCCTGCTGGGGAAGCCGCTTAGCCTCGATTTATTTTGATATTTTTGTGAAATACGGTTCACGTGTTTCGTGTCGTCGCATATTTTTGTTGCAAAACCGAGCGCAGCAACAAAAACAATAACAAAGGCTTGGCAATTGAAAATATAATTTCATAATTTATGGTGTTAGTTCTCGCATAGTGTTCACCCATGCTCTCTCGAGCCTTATGCAAATGATTGTTTTTTCCTATATTATTTCATATTTTCCTGGCCCTTTTTTTGGCCCCGTAGAAAACAGCTCGACTGCTGGTTGTTGCCATTCAATTACATTTTTGCAATCAAACTGCAATGTGGCCAGACAATGTTCAGCTGCTCACCTGGCCAGAACAGACAGAAAATATATATATATATATCTAGTGATACCTCTGCCATATGTGGGGGCTGATATATATTGCATAAATTTGTGACCTTTCAGTTTTCAATTGAATTTCTCTGCACGGCGGCAATTGTTCGAGGAAAACTTGGTCCTTGCATTTTCAGCAGCCGGAAAAACAACACAACTAAGCGGGGAGAGTGCCAATTTGCATGCTTGTAGTGGTCTGTGTTTTTTGGTGGGAGAGTGGGTGGTCGATTCGATATATATATATCTGCAAAAACAAGAGCCAGCAATTCTCCCCTCGATTTGTTTTAATTGTTGTTCGCTACTGTTGATGCGAACCCCTTGTTATTGTTATTTTTTCGGCTCTGTCTGGCGCTTATTGGCAATTGTCAAGTATTGGTTTTTTCCTATTATTGTTTCATCAATGGCATGAAGCGATTTTAATTAATCGCCCCCGAAAGTTGGCCAATTTCAAAGTTTTTCGGATTAATTTGTTGCCATGTTCGTCGGACAACAGTTGACGGCATTTTGGATGCTGCTGAATTTAAGTTTGGGGCCGGTCTTTCAATTAAAAGCCACCGCAAGAGCCATCCTCTAGATTTAATGTTACGCATACGCCATGTGTGCCATCTACGGTTGCCATGTTCACACACAAAAACACACACACACACTTGCGTGTAGAGAGGACTTGTACGAGTAGCAGATTGGTTGCTCTGCTGGCTGCAAATCCTGTTAATCACCTCTATCACAGGTGAGCCATCTGCACGTAGCTCACTTTTTGCCGCTTTAAGTCGCCGCAGTGTTGTAACAGCAGCATGAAAGAGAAAGAAGCGGAGGGATAGAAAGAGAGGGAGGCTAAGGTGGAAAGTAGTTACAACCACTGCTGCTATTATATCTATTTTCTAGCCAAGTTTTGGAATTATTTAAGTCAAGTAACGCTACTACTTTACCTTTTAGATATTGGTCTAAATGACTATATTTTTATCTTCCTCATTTATAGAAAATATTTCTGATACTCTTGGCTTTTTTATAACTCTTATGCCATATTTTCTTTTTTTATTTTTTATTTTTAAATGTTATATGTGAACAAGGGAAAAAGACCTTATTGCTTATCCTTAGCCACTTGACTTAGCTTCTTTTTCTATGCCAATTTTGCCAGCACTGTTTACACGTTAGCATACATATGCAAGTGGAGAAGTTAAATACACACCGGCTCTGTCAACTGAGTCTTTGATCCGGCTGATGCCTCCTCCATCGGTGTCCTGGCAGAGCCTTAATGCTGCAATTAGTGGCTCCTCCAGCACTCGGGCTTATTTGCGGTTCTGCGTTTTATGACCCTCATTTGCCGATTTCGAAGACGAGTGCATTACACCATTTCCCACTGACCTCCAAACTCTGGCCAGCTAAATCTAATCTCTCCATGGACGAACAATGAACTCAAACGAACAATCAGTGCAATCCTCTACAGCAGTTAACTTGAATTGAACGGTGAGGGCCAAAATTGGCAGAAATTCACGCATAATTTGAAATCTCCGACTTAAGGCCATTGTCTGCCTTTGTTTGGCAGTAGCACTACTTCACATGGCTTTTTGTACCGCTATGGTTATGGCAATTAATCCTCATCACAATGCCAGTTAAGTTTCCCATTCAGTCGAAATTTTTAAATTGCCGAGGTCCAAGTATAATGGCTCAACAAGAGGCGAATCTGTCTCTAAACTTTAAAAATCAATTCTTGCTGTAAATGAATTCAAATTTAAGAAAGGTCTACGGTTTTTAGAATAATCTAAGTAAAATAGGTTAAGAAAAGGTATTATAAAAAAATTATTGCTTTTTCATATTTATCCATAGTTGTGGGTTCGCAGAAGATTTCTAATTTCTATTTAGGACTTCGGGAAGTCCTTGATTTTTTCCGGCTTAATTTTTTTTTAGTATTCCGGTTTGCTAAATTTGTTCAAAGAACATTCCTTTCTTCACTTAATTTTGTTCCTGTATTTTTTTACTACCCATTTGCGTCTTCGCCTTTCACAAGTTTCGCGTGGCTGGCCGAATTCCTGTTTGTTTGTCTTGCTTTGATTTCCTTATTGATTTATATGAAGTCGGTCTGAGAGTGTGTGCGTACAAGGAATGCAACAAGTGCAACAATGCAATCCACACTCGCACACTAACTCACTCGCTTACACAACCCCATGTATTTAAATGTTGCCCCAAGCATGTGTTTGTGGCATCGTGTGGAATTCTTGCTGCCTTTATAGTATATGTGTGTTAGAGGGCGAGCTTTTGTGTGCACAGAAATAAAAGTTTGGGTTTTTATACTTTCCATAAAATAGGTCAAAATACCAAAAGGGATATTTTATTCACTAGCAATATTGTTCATGTGGCGGCAGAGAGCGGGCAGAGTAAAAAAATCTTATGCTACAGAATTTATAAGTTGCCTTTAAAAATTTCGTTTTAAGTCGTCGAAACTAAGTTTTTTTTGCCAACTGCTTTCCAATTATTATTTAATTTACTAAATCTTTTGTAATATACCTTTTATTTCCCGAGTGTATTAGTGTAGTGGGAGTGGAGCATATTGAAATTGTTGCCATAGCGAGCGTAATCCCTGCCAGCGACGGGTTTTTACCCGCTATGAAAAGGGCAGATCGGCAGCCTTTTCTCAATGCTGATGCCAACGGAAAAAATGTAATAAACGCCAAGCAAAATATTTGTCAAATCAATTTAGCTCACACCAAACGAGGGTGTGTGAGTGTCAAGGGCAGGAAGGAGAAAATATGCAGAGTTCACCCGCACATTCACACTTCACACTTGGTTACAACACTTTTTCGTGTGTGTGGTGCGGGTCGGCGAAAGTCGATGGGAAAGTTTTGGCCCAGCGAGATAAATGGCACTTGAACGTATTATTCTCTCTTCTCTTTTGGGGTAAGTAGGATATGCTGAGGTGTATTTGCAACTCCTTATCATCTGGGAAATAGGGTAAACCACACAGATATGGTTAGTTACTAAAGTCTTATTCTAGCTTTCTCTAAAAGTTTTGCGTTTTCTCCGTAGAGTTATTTATTTTACTTACGAGTAAACAAATGTATTACAGTTTCTTTTCTTATTTAAAAACGAAGAGGATTGTTAAAGGTTAAGATAATTTTATAAGATTTGTTTTAATGGGTATTTGTTGCACATAAATATTTAATTTTTTTGAAAGGATATCTCATCGCCTGCCTTCGCCTATCCTTTGAAATCATTTTTTTATTTCACGATATTTTATTTTATTCCGTTTTATTCCTTTTTTATTTGCAATTTGGCCTTTTGTGCCGGGGACCGCCTAACGGGAATATAACATGACAGCGACCCAAGTCTAGCTGTCTGTCGTGTGTGTAAAAAATTATTGAAGCCCCTGTTGAAAGGAGGCTGGGCTGCTATATCCTGTCCCCTGTTCTGTTCTATTCTATTTTATATATGTTTCTTATATATCTGTATGTATGGCACATGCTTTGATTGAGGTATGCCGCACTAACAATAACAGGCAGCCAGCAGAAATCTCCACTTATTTATTAAATTTACTGCGCTGCCTGTCGCCCGGGAGACGGCGCCGAAAAGCAGGCAACACTAAATGTGGCCGAAAAGAGGGAGACTGAAGCCCCAAAGGCCCGCAAAGGTTCTGGAAAAGGGCTGAAAATTAAAGTTGACCAACTGTCAGAGGACGGCAGGCTCAAGTGGCCGGAATTTTCCCCCCAACAGCCCCGAGGCTGTTGTAAATTCGCATTAAAATATGTCAAAATGACAAAAGTCCTTGCTGCTCTTTCATAATTTCGATGGAGTTGTTTACGTAGCAGCAGTGATGAGAAAAGTCTGGGGTACATTATGACTATATTTATAAGAAAATAATGAAGGACCTGAATTTTCTACATTAGAAATGGTGTTAAAATAATTAATGTGTAGGTAATGTAAAAGGTACAATACATTTTAAAATATCTAATCTATTCTAAGGTGAAATAATTAAAAAAAATATTTTAGCTCAGATTTTCCAATATACAAAAATATATATTTTCTTTTTCTTAGCTAGGTAGCTTTACGTTATTTGGGATATTTCTGGCTTTGGTCCTGAGATTGCTTTTACCCCCTGCCGACAATCCTTTGAGCTGTTGTCGTCGCCTGACAAATTGATGCTTTGACATCCTTCGAGCAAAAGTTTAATCTCTCTCATTGACGAAGTTAAGGCGCCCTGAGCCATTCAAGTGTGCAAATATTTGCCGGCTGTTCTTATTAAATCTTTTTGGGTTTTGCCTTGGGGTTTATGCATCAATTTATCACCCCGGCTGAGATTACGAAACGAAACAGAGATTACAGCTAAAAAGGACCAAGGAAAGAACGAGATGGGAGGGGTGATGCCCCGAGAGCATTTCAATCAGCTGAGGAAATGGACAAAAACTTCCTGCACTTTGCTGCAATATCTGAAGAAAAACGTTTTGCAATTACAGCTTAGCAGTTGTTGTCATTACTGCACTTTCTGAACACAAAATTCCTTTGAAGTTTCGGTCGCAGGCGTTGCCAGCAATAAGTGTCACATGAGACCCACTTCCGTTGACTGATTTTTCGTTTGCTCTATTTATGTGGCAGGACTTAATGACAATCATGTCCTGGTCCTGAAATTGCCTTTTCAAATTGCCATTCTTTGTTTATTTTTGCAGTTTTTGCCCAAAACTTTGGCTTGTTTGTCGATTGCATTCCCTGATGAGTTCAAGTGGGTGGCACAAGACACATGCTCAAAGTTCGGCCCCATAAATGTGACAAGCTGGGGCGTATCTATATGGCATTTGGTTTCGAGCTATGTATGCCCACGGCCTGGAATGCACTCCAAAGATATCCTTGTAGGTGCCATACATCAGCCTGTGAGCTCAAACAAATTCCGAGTTTCTCTTTGATCTGAGCTCTGTGAAATACCCTCTCAAAAGGGGTTCTTTTTATTTAAATAAAAGTTTAAATTGTATTGAAAGTATTATTCTTTAAAATGTAGTTTAAATATTAAAATACAGATTTCACGCATTTATTTCGAAAATTATTTTTCTTCACGTTGCCTTGGTGTATACACAAAAAAAAGCATGTTCCCTTAAAATAGATATGGCCATGTAAATTTCAGGTCATGCAATACATGAAATACTCTTTTCGACCAGTTCAAATGTACCTGGCTGCATCAAATTAAAATTGATCTTAAATAATGTAAAATCGATCTTCGTTTCATATCGACTTATGTGGGTGTATGATTTAGTTAGTACACCCAGACAAAAGTAAATAACCAGAAATTATAATAACCAGAAATTATATTGTTTTTTCGGTGTACTTTGTTCACTTCCTATTATTTTCAAGTTTTTTAAAGGGACACCAATTTGCGTTGAAAACTTTTGCTTGTTCTGTCGTCACAGTCACCTGCCTTATTTTGAATATATTCACATGAAATCAGGTTGGATTTCCGCCCAGTTGTGTATTTGATAACTTCAGTCGAAGGACTTTTATTGCTCCCTTCAATGACATTATCCCTGACCTGACCCTCTGCCGTATTTACATTGATTGAGGTTGAAGAGTAATTTTGCCTGCTGCAAGAGCTCAAACCTAAGCATGACTCAAGTTGTTATTTGGGGTCTTAAGTATTTGATTGTATTTACATTGTGCCCAAATCATGAAAGTTCAAACAGCCGAAGCGGATAATGCCAGTGGGTAACCCTTTTCACAATTTCGAAATTGTGTTACTCGAGATTGTCAGTTAAGTAGCTGGCAAGTAGTTGAAATCCATACGGGTTATGGAAATGTATATTCATATTGTGCTCGCTGAAATTCAGTTGCGAGCCAGCGAAGCAGAGATACTTGGTCGCCCTTGCAGTTCCAAAGATAGAGCGAAGCAGTTGCAGTTGCAGATTCAGATTCAGATACGGATACGGACATACAAGGATACAGATACTGTAGAGGTAAGCCAGCCATTCGAGTGGCAATTTGTGCGTGCAGCGAACCGGAAAAGCCACTCAAGTCTAGTCGAGCCACATGTGTAAATACACAGTAAGATAAGGTAATCAAATCAAATTGATCTAGCAAAAAAAATTGATTAGGTATTTATTGTAAAAATATAATGGTGTATGTAACAACGCCTTTTCAAGAATTCTATGAATTATATTATTTCAGATAGCTTTTAGGATAGAAATAATATTTAAAAAAAATTAAAATATATCCCCAAATTAGTATTAATTTTTCCATGTGCAGCCCCCGAAAGTATGA